GTCTCTCTATTTGTTTTTGTTTCTATTTTCTTTATTTAGTGATGTTTTTCATCTCACTGCTCTATGTATTTTAAGTTTCCCACTAGCTTCTATTTATAACCAAAAATAAATAATATGTGGACTATTACGTCGTCCGGATATTGCACTGACCACATTTTAGCAGTTTTTGTCGCTTCTGACATCTGTTTCGGTGCTTTTGTTGTTTGCTTTAGGTTTTGCTTGATATTATTATTGTGATTTTTATGGCTTTTTGAGAAATCACTTGATGTTTGTCATTGCTGACAGCAACCAATCGACTCGAAATCTAATTGCAGTCGACAAATAACAAATAGCGAACAACTATTCAACGCATGAGAATCGCATAGAAAGGTGACAGTGAGCCAGCAAAGAATGAGAGGTAGATATGAATCAGCAGAGCAGTTCGAGTAGATTCTTAGTAAGAGTTGTTTGAGTGAAATGAGATTGAAAGAAGAAGACATTTCATGTGACGGCAGACACATATATACAGATTGCAAGCCTTACATAGAGGACAACCAAATATCGGAGGTATAAAAACCATAATGAAAATCAACCTGCTCGACTTCCTGCTCACTCAGATTCCTTCAGTCACGAGTCGATTCTGACTTACATCAAATATTCGTCGCATGGGCCTTAATCAACATTATCCATTTTTACCATTAGGTGAACTTTTTGACATGTACCATTTTTTATTTATTTTTTTTCTTTCTTTCGTTTACCTCTTTTTATTACTTATTGATTTTGGCAATTTTTAACAAAGTGGATTGTCTGTTTAAATTTTTATATGCTCGCGCTAGTTGGTGTGAGCTTTCAGAGGCTCTCTAAAATGTAAAAATAAATATACCCATATATCAATCAATATATGGTATACTATTCCTCCAGAGTAAGTATCAAATATATAAAGCTTTTACTTTTCCCGACAAACTGTTATCAAGAAAAATCTTTATTACATTAGTTAAGATTTTTATGTGTTTCAATGGAGACACTCTCAAATAATAATAAAATTTTGCCCCATATCATATCGAACGGCATCTATAGCATACAGCTTCTATTTCATGTAGTTGCATATAGAGTATTTAGCTGGCGAGTTGCCAAAAATAGCTGTTCTATTCTTGTTTTATCAGTTTTTGGTCGGCATCCCCGAGCAATTAATGGACGAGCCGTTAACCGACACGGTTGGCGTTCAATTAAAATCTAATATAAAATATAGATTGCATGCCGGCGATGTGCGTTTCGTTGCCTTTTGCCCCCTCTTTTCGTGTAATATTCAGAAAGACAAGGCAACTAAAAACGAAAACAATAACAAAAATTAAAAGGCACAACACAGACAATGCATAGAAAATGTGCTAGATTTGTATATATCGGCATATCGAAAAAATATACTATATAATTGAACTCAATCAATTTGGTGTTTTCCAAGAAATTAAGATTCTCCTAAAGAGCAGTGATTAGGGAAAGAGATGAGACTTTGGATATAAAAAATGTCTAAGCATATAAGAGAGTAGAGACTACACGAGGAGAAGATCCCCTGAGCCCTGTAAATAGATGAAAGAGCACTTGCACACACACACACACACATGCGCTTGGGCTGCAATTTGAGTTTTATTATGAGAGCTTGAGTAAATCCTCTTGTGGTGGGACTGGGTATAAAATATTTGTCAATTATTTTAACTACTTTTTTATTTTTATTTTTTTTGTTCAAATATGAAGTGACTCAGCTACTCGCACTGATCAAGAATACATAGACTTTATAAGGTCTTGAATGCTTCATTCTGTCCTTATTGCTCATTTACTATAGGTCAGGCTTTGCAAGCCTTTATTCATAATGTAGGAGACTCTATTAATTATAGTATAATTCGATTATAACGACGGTGCCCTAACGTCGTTATACCCCAATGAGGCTATAACCATATAAGTTTACTCATGTAAGCTTATCCGGGAGTCAGTATTCTCGGCGTAATCTACTATATAATATTTTGACATCTTTGCTTCTAAGCCTTTTCGCTCTCTACTTAAAAAATACGCTCTCGTTCTTCTCCTAATGCTTAAGATATTCTCGATCATCTGACTCACGTCAACAAGATGGACGTATATCTCTTGTTAGTTAGCCATAGAGTTATTTCCGCTAACCTCTTATTGACCTAGTACACGAAACTTGAATACAACATCTATTTAATCTATATCCAAGAATTCTTTCATAACTAAAATCTGTATTCCTATTATACAAATGGCTCGAGAAGATAATGGCAAATGTTTGCTGTCTATTCAACTGATGTCAAGTAGTTTGTAAGCAAGTCTTGCATCCATTTGGATTTACAAAGCAACAAATTCAATTCTGTGGCTCATTTAATTTCCATTTGCGGCGCACATACATATAGAAATAAGTAAATCTATTGCTTTTGTGGCGCCCCACTTGAGTTTGGGGTGGTCTCAGTTTATCGGGTACAAAGGCATTTTGTATTTTATGGCAACTGCATTTTTGGCTAACGAGCATTTAAGATAATATCATTTCAAGAACAGAGCCGAACCGAACCGTAAATTCTTCTACAAATACGGGCCAAAAAAAAATGTTTATATATATATATCTATTCATTTGGCTTTGTTGATGGCATTTTTTGGTGACGTGCGGAGATCGGCAAGCGTCGCGCATTAAAATCTATTTCGATTCAAGGTCGCGTCATCAGTTTTTGTTATAGTTATACGAATTGTTTCAAAATTGTACAAAAAGAAAAACATAAGCTTCAAGCAAGGTTTTATGAGTTGTGCAACACTGAAAAGTCAGCAAGAGGAAACAAACGTAAACTGAGACAATTTTTGGAGACGACAGCAATAGCAACAACAACAACAACAACAACATCAACATCAAGTCACATTATTGTTCAATTATTCACAATTGCACAATGAGTTCCGAGTGAATATGATTCTATATATATACGTATATATGCATGTGTTTATGTGTGTGTGTATGTGTGTGTGTGTATATATGTATTTATTAGTTGCCGGATTAGCTGTCACTTAGCGTTTCCTTGGCTTACCCAATCGTCTACACTTGCCTCTCCAATTATGCTCGTTGAAATTGAAAGCATTAAAGTGTGTCTCTGGGCTATGCATAGATGTGTGCGTGTGCGTGTGTGTGTGCGTTTGTCTGTTTGTGTACATATGATACATATGTTACACATACATACATTTTAACATGCATATGCCTACTTCATGGCATGCTGTTCAGCACGTTGCGTATACGCCATGGGAGCCCATTAAAAATTATATTAAAACCACTTTTACTGGTTCATAACTTCCATAATGCTTTTGCTTATATAAAGTGCAGTTTTATAGAGTTTATATGCTTGCCTAGAACTGAAAAATATCTTTCCTAAAGTGAGCTTAGCTTTATCTTATGTGTATATGACACTTGCGTTTTAAAGATATTTTAAGTTTTGTGATAGAAGCTATAAGACTCACTATTTTTTTAATAAAAATAAAAAAGATGATAACAGAAAGAAACCAAGGGGTTCGCATGCTCAGAATGGGTTTATGGTTGTCGAATATTTTTAAAATATCGCATCGATGATATTTTAGGTTTTGAATAAATATCAATATGAGATTTGATATGCAACTTTAAAAATATCGATATATTGATATTTTCATATATTTATATTCAACAACTTTAGTTTATTTTTATTCAATATTGACTAACTAAATTTTATTTTTTAGCTTGATACAAAGGTTCTAGATTTGTTCTACTATGCCTAATTTATTCTAGTTGAAATCAAAAAACATTGCTTATATGAAAAGTTAGCTTGAACCTGAGCTTGAGCCCATACCTAGTATCAAGAACCAGAGATCATTAGTAGACAATAACTATTTCTCAAGTCTCTAATATCCCATGAGACCTTTACATATCTATTTTATCATTTTATTTATTATTTATCATCTATCATTTTAGCCAAGTATCTAAAGTCTTCTGGCAACTGCCCAATGCTTAAAGCAAATAAACTTATTCGTTATTGCTACATTATAATAAAATCAACAAATTTATGTTCCTCAATCAACAGATTCAACTACTGCTAGTTGTGATATTAATTAAATATAGATTATGTCATTTGATTAACAGAGGCACGACATGCACGCAGACCGTTGAATTAATTGAAATTGAAATCTAAATTTAGATATAATATCTTATTCGAGATGAGAGTGGCTCAGGGCTACTGCGGCCGCATACGAAATGTGTTGAAGAAATTGTCAAAGTGTTTGCTCAACATATGAATTACAATATCAATTGAAATGAAATGGAACTCGGCGCAGCAAATTGTTGCGGCTCCTTAGCATTATTTTAATGGACTACGCAGACTAAGATGTGTGTATACACATCATATATATATATATACATATATATATATATATATATATATATATATATATATATATATATATATATATATATATATATATATATATATATATATATATATATATATATGTATCTCACAGATTTGTCCCCTCTCTCTCTCTCTCTCTCTCTCTCTCTCTCTCTCTCTCTCTCTCTCTAGGTCTTTCAAATTTCGACTATGCAAATGTAGCGGAAATACCGAAAAAATGCCGATCAGCTGCGCTCGCACAAGCGCTGAGAGTTTTCTGAGTATGCTAAGGCATATATATGTATATGTATATTAGACACATATATATGTATATATATTTAAATATATATATATATATGTACTCGATATATGTGTATAGAGTCTTCTGTAGAGCATGCCCAGAAGCACATGCTCTGCTGCTCTTAGCTGTCGCTCAAGTGTGTCACTCGACAGACGCACACCTGTATATATAAATGCCTTTACAGATATTCGTATATATGTATACCTATACACATACATCCATATACATCTAACGTCCAAGCACTTGACTTCAACTTTAATTGCCCAGCATGCGGATAGAAAAATAGAAATAATAATTTTTGAATTATGCATGGCAAATGTTATTACCTTGAATTATTTGTTGCTCACAAAACAAAAAACCAGCACAAAAACAAAACAAAGATTTTTTTCATATAGCGAATATTATTAAAACACACAAAGTCCAACATATAGATATATCTTTCATATGCGTATTCATTGCAGACGCGAAAACTTTAACTTTTTGGCTAAAAATATGCGACAAAAAAAAAGTCCAAAAAAAATATTTAAATACATTTTTGTTTTTCGTTTTCGTTTTTTTGTTTCAACATTTTCACAAATATTTTCATTTTTTTCTTTTATCTCTGGCACACTGTTTTTAAGCAGAAGCTTAGCACATTTTGTAATGCAACTATTCACACGCGGCGCAAATTCTCATTTAATAAATCAAATATTCTTGAAAAAAAAAAAAAAACAAACATCAAAATATAAACTGAAATATTCCACATATATTTTGCCAAGCACGACGAACGTTTCACACTTTCAACAAATGAAAAAAGCTTTTGAATGCAACTATGCTTTAAAAACATAGAAAAATTATTTTAAAAAATATTTGTTTTTAATTTAAATAATTGCCTGAAATATAATTTTAAAAAATTTTTATATATATTTATATTATAAAGAAAAAAATGTTGTTAAAAGATTTCTCTTAACAAATTTATAAACAAAAAGTTTAAAACTTATAAAATTTTAAAGACTACAAATTATATATTTGTAATATTGTTTTTAATTATTACAAAATACTTTTCAAAAACAATTTATTGAAAAAAATTATTTTAAAAATGTTAGTATATATTTTTATTAACAAAATTATTTAAATATGTACAAGAATGTAAATATTTGTAACAACAAAATTAATTAGCTTTAATATTTTTTAAAATAATATTTATTTTATCTATATTATAAAAATTTTATAACAACAAGAATTTTTTTTTTAATAAAAAAAAACATGTATGTAATAGAAATTAATTTTCTACATTGAATCAAAAATGGTTGGTAAACAAATAAATTGGCAGTTTATAAAATCCAAGCTGGGCTAATGGAAATATTTTTTGATTTATGTTTGCATTATTCGGCAAATGAACTACTGCCAACAATAATCAAATGTGAAACGTTCGTTTATTATTAAACATATTGAAAACATTCGGCGTTCGCGCAATCTTCAATGCCCACGCAGCACGTGGCTTAATAAAAAAAAAAAATAAATAAAATATAACAAAAACCAAAAGCAAAAAAAAAAAGGTAGGAATGAAAATGTACAAATAAATAAATAAATAAATTATTAAATGAGATGTTCGACCAGCAAGCAGCACGAATTCCGTCGCAGCGCACGTGAAGATCAACGCCAGAGCATCGCGATGAGACTGAATAACAGATCTTAACAGATCGAAGGCCCTGGCCGGCGGCACACAGGTGCGGGCGAGCTGGGGTGCTCTGGCTGGGTGCCGCTGCCTAGGGGCGGCTGCTCTGGGCTGCGCGGACAGCGAGCGCGTGGGTACAGCGCTGCCCATTTAACAGCTTGATAAATGAATGAAACGCGTCGCACTCGATTTGCGGTAATTGTGAGCAACGATTGAAGAGCGACGGAGATGGAGTGTGAGAGGGGAAGTGAGGGGGAGAGAGAGTAAGGTAAAAAGCATAGCTAAAAGCTCTAGAGGGTATCTGTGCAAGGGTGACTGAAGCAATGAAGCTAAATCAATGCAAAGCACCCACAACAGGTGTGCGACAAAAGCTCTAAGCTCCAAATCACTGACAATGCATTTGACTAGACTGCAGTCTATCCAGAGACATGCAGTTATGTGAAGCTAAGCAAAAAGCTTGCTAGCCGCTGTTTGTTTAAAAAGCGAAAAGGTCCACATAGAAGCAGTGTTGCCAGGTTTTGAGACATAAAAATAGCAAAATCGTCTCTAAAAAATAGCTGAAAATAGCTAAACAAATTTTAAAATAGCTTACAAAATAGCTGAAACCTTTATGCATTATGCATTTACTTTAAATTTTATTTTTAAATGTTATTTAATAATGTTACAATTTGGTCCACATCCAAATCATCATCAGAATTATATTTTTGATTAACTGGAATCATTTTTAAATATTTGGAAGGCACGGTATAATCATGGCAGCATTTGCCATTGCTGCGCAAGAAGAATTAGCGATGGTATAAATTCACAACTAGTGATGGTATAAGTACGACAAAGTCGTGGTGGTAGTACCGCGCAGATCATTACGTACAATTTGGGACTTAATCGAAAAATGTTTTTTTTTTTTTTGCTTTAAATACTAAAATCAAATTCAAAATATTCGTTTGTAAAATAGCTAAATTTATAGCTAATAGCATTTTCCAAATTTTCATAGCATTTAGGGTTCAAAAATAGCTAAAAATGCTATTAAATAGCTAATCTGGCAACACTGCATAGAAGGCGCCCTCATAAAGCTCGCTTACAGACAAAAGCTGTCACCAACTGGAATTCCTTAAAGCTTTAACCCTTTAGTCACTTCCTCATACAGCAGCTGCCCGAAAGCAGCTCAACGTGAAAAGCTCTTCACAAACATAAAATACTAATAACCAAACGCCAAAAGCTTTAAAGATCTTAAGGCACCCACTGGCCTGGGCAAAGCTTCACAGCACAGACAATATCAAAAGCTCAAAGCTCAAGGCTCAGACCTAATGATCCCTAACAGTGAAAGCTGTTGAACAAGCCGACAAGACTTTACTTCGCCTTTCAATTATATTGTTATCAAATATAAAAAGCATAAAGCTCTGGAGCTTCCTAAAGCTCAAATTTATTACGATTATAGAGCAGAATCAAAAGATCGTTGTCCATAGAAATTTTGATAGATCTCTTTCTCTTTTGGTGTTTTTTGCAAAAATATGGTTGTTTTTTTTCTGTAATTTTTTTTTTTTTGTGGTTTTTCGGTTTTAATTTTTATTTGTGGCTTCAGTTTAGGATTTCGGTTTGTCCCCGCTTTTTGGTGGGGCAGGTGCTTTTGGTGGGGCGGCTGCTTTGGGTGGTTCAGCGGCTTTTGCATCCTTTGGCTCAGCATCTTTATCTTCGCCCTTATCATCGCTAGGTGGCTTGCCATCCTTTCCATCCTTGCCATCCTTGCCATCTTTGCCCTTCGCAGCCGCTGCCGCCGCTTTCCTGGCCTTGCTCTCTTCGCTGGCCTTCTTCTGCGCCGCTGCAAACGCCGCATCGCCAATGGGCACATCCTTTATCTCGCTGGCAGGCGTACGCCTCGACTTGCCAAAGCAGACGTCCGCAACGTTTTTGTGCTTCAGATTGAAGCCGGAGACGCCACGTATACTGGGCTCCAGATTCTTCGAATAGATATCGGCAGCCAGCTCATCCAAGCCCACCTCGCGATCGGCCAATATCTTCTTGGAGATCGCCTGGAGATCTTTGCGCACTTTGGCATCGATCTTCTTCAGCTCCTCCTCGTCGGCCAAGCAGAGTTGAAGGATTTGCTTGCGGAAGCTTTCGATGGGATCCCGTTTGGAGCGTATCGTTTTCACCTCATTACGCGACCGGTATGCCGTACCCGGATCGGACATTGAGTGACCCTCATAACGGTACGTGTTCATCTCCAGCACAATCGGGCCACAGTTCCTCGCATGATCGACGGCAAACTGCGTGGCACTGCGCACGGCCAGCACCTGGTTGCCGTCGACCCAGAGGCCGGGTATATACTGGCCGCGCATATAGAAGTCGGTAAGGGCCGCATGCCGATCGATGCTGGTGCCCATGCCGTACTGATTATTCTCGCAGACAAATATGCAGGGCAGGCCCCACAGCTTGGCCATGTTGTACGCCTCGAACACCTGGCCCTGGTTGCTCGCACCATCGCCATAGAGTGCCACACAGACACCGCCATCGCCCTTATAGCGATGCGCCAGCGCGATTCCGGCGCCCAGCGGCACTTGGGCCCCAACTATGCCATTGCCACCGTAAAAGTTGTCGCCGTAGGTGTGCATCGAGCCGCCTTTACCACGGCTGCAGCCGGTCTTAACGCCGACCAGTTCGGCAATTAATCCGTATGCCGAGACGCCCATCAGGTAGGTCCAGGCATGGGCACGATATGCCGTTATTACGCTATCCTTTTTCTGCAGCACCGCGCACATGCCGACGGCCACCGCCTCCTGGCCATTGTACAGATGGCAAAAGCCCCGAATATGCTTCGCCTTATACATATTATTGCAAACCACCTCGATTCGACGCACCTCCACCATCTGCGTGTACATTTTCAATGCGTCCTCACGTGACAATTCCACGTCCATGGGCGGTCCCTTCTCCAGCTCATAGCACTTGAAAGTCTAGTCAGAGATATACAATGAATCGATATTGATAGCTGCACAATCTGCTCTAAGGTGAAAATCTAGCTGTAGCTGTCCCTTCCCCTCCCTCTCCCTCTCCCTCTCTAGCTCTTGTTCTTTCTGTTTCTCTCTTTCTCTCGAGTTATAATGGACTTGATCACACACTACTTTTACGTTATTTGGTATACTCAATCTCTCTTCAAATCACTTTTTAGATCTCATTTCTTCTTTTGGTTTATTATATCCATTCTGAGTGATCTATCTCATTCTCGCTATCTAGCTATTTCTTCTGTGCCTCTCTCCCTCTCTCTCGCGCTTTGCACTGTATACCTTTCGCTTTCTCTCCATCTCTCTCACACTAACACTTTCAGTCTAACTCATTCTCTTTATATTCATCTCAATCTCTATCGCTGTATTTCGCTCTATATCTAATTATCTTTCTTTCCCACTCTCTCTATCTCTCTATATATCCTCTCTCTCTCTCTCCTCATTTCTCTATCTACAATTAGGTCATCTTATCGGTCTCGCTCTCTCTCTCTCTCTCTTGTATCACTCACTGTTTCTCGCGCTCTTTACGTCTCTCTTTCCCTATCTCTCGATTCCTCTACTTCTCTGAATGTCTTCTGGTCACACTCTCACTATGCCTTTCTCGCTCTCAACCCGTCTTTCTCTCAGTCTACATTTCTCTATATCTCTCTCTCTCTCGCTCGTCCGCTCTCCCTACACCCCGATTTTCCTCTCTCAGCTTGTTTCTCTCATGACTTACGTTCTTCAGCGTCAGCGTTGAACAGCCCGAACTAAAACGTCGAGGCCGCCACCAGATCCCCAAGGGCGAACACCTTTTACCGCCAGTTAAATTATAGAGCAATTGGATTTGCAATAAATATCGACGGCTCTTACAGACCCGCTTAGCTGTTGACATCATATTAAAGAATGTTCGTTAAAAAAAAAACTGTAAGCGCTGAGGTTTTTATTGGTCGGACCCCACAATGCTCTGGATATAGACTATTCAATTTGAAGATATTAATAACGTATTCGTCGAAAGGCCTAGGAAATTACGAATTTTATACTAAATTTTAAGGTAATGCCGCATTGAAAATAAGTCTTACAGAAAGTCAAAAATAAAATGCCAAAAGAATCTAAAGAATACAAAAATAATTTTAGAATTACCGATTAATGCTTCAATGTGTTCTAGGTTTACGACTTTACGACCCCACTCGACTTTCAAATAACATTTCGATCTCTTGCTCTTATACACATATCGCTCAACTCTCGCCATGTTATCTATGATTTGCTCCTACGAGATTCAGTCTCCCGTATTCTTGTCATCTCACACTGCCGTACATAGTTCACAGAGCTCAACACATATTTGATACGTATGTATGTAGTTAATTTATATTTCAACAATTTACACCTCGCTTTAACCAAATTGAACACGTTCATATAATTAATATCCGTTGCCATTGCTGTTGCCACTGACTGGCCCATGTTGTGTGGTTGAGTGTGTATGGGAGTGGGCAGGGTGTGAATAATTCGTGGTTAACTACGTTGTCTTTGCGTGTCTTTGAACTTGTATGTATGTGTGTGTCTGTATTTAAGGCTATACGAAATATTATATTGCATTCACAATCGCACGCATCATTCACAATATATGCGCATAGTTGTATAAAATCGTATAGTATACGCAATGGATTTTAACTATTTGGAAAACAAAATTTTTCTAACATCAACTTTGGGCTTATGATCTAGAGATTTCGCTTGCTTTATGTATGCACGTGTGTGTGTGTGTGTGTGTGTGTGTGGTGCTAAAGAATCGTTGCTCCTTAACCTCCTAATGATTTACACCCTTTCGCTCCTGGATGTGATCTATGTCGTAGCCGTTGGTGCCACGCAGCTTGGGCTCCAAATTGTTGGAGTATACATCGGTCCACAAATGGCTAACGGGCAATTCGGTGCCGTTCTTGGCCTGAGCAGTGGCTTCATCCACTTCCTTGCGCACCTTCAGATCAATCGCCTGCAATATAGAAATCTGTCAATAATGGTATTCCATGTAGAGATTGCAGTCGCTTTAACCTTGACTTCATCGGTGGTAATCAGACCCAATTCAATGCACAGCTCCTTGAAGGAGGTAATGGGATCACGTTTCTGGCGCACCTCCTGGATCTCCTCGCGTGTGCGATACGATGTGCCGGGATCGGACATGGAATGGCCCGAATACCGATAGGTGTTCGTCTCCATTACCAACGGTCCTTGCTCGTTCACATACTTGATGGCGAACTCTGTGGCACTGCGCACGGCCAGCACATCCATGCCATCCACCCAGATGCCGGGCAGAGCATCGCCGCGCGTATAGTAATCCGTATTGCAGGAGGCGCGCTCCGCGCTGGTGCCCATGCCTGTTGTGAACGTTAGATTAGTTAGATAGGTACGGATAAGCCGTATTTTTAAACTGCTCACATACCATAGTTGTTGTTCTCACAGACAAAGATAACGGGCAGCTTCCACAGATAGGCCATGTTGTAGGCCTCGAAGACCTGGCCCTGATTGGCAGCACCGTCGCCGTAAAGAGCCAGGCACATGCCGCCGTTGCCCTTGTATTTGCAGGCGAGGGCGACACCAGCGCCGAGGGGCACTTGGGCGCCGACGATGCCGTTGCCGCCAAAGAAATTCGGGCAGTACATGTGCATGGAGCCGCCCTTGCCGCGCGCACAACCGCTCTGGACGCCCGTCAGCTCGCCGAGCACGCCCAGCGGCGGCACGCCCATCAAATATGTCCAGCCGTGCACACGATAAGCCGATATAATGTTATCCACGTCGCGCATTGCCGCCTTCATGCCCACCGCACAGGCCTCCTGGCCGGAATACAAGTGGCAGAAGCCGCGAATGATCTTCTCCTTGTACAGATTGCCAGCAGCCGTCTCGATGCGCCGAATCGTCTGCATCTGTGTGTAGTATTTGAGCGCCTCATCCTTTGTTAGCTTCACTGTCGTCTCCGGACCTTCTTCCAGGCGATGCAGCTTAAAGGGCTATTGCACACGACAGCGATAGAGAGAGGAATATGCAAATAAAACGTGTGAGTGAGCGAGCATATGAAACAACATGAGTGTAAGGGAGACAGCTGCATATTGTTTGCTAAGCAAACGTTACATTTTTGATTTACAGGGATTTTATAGCACATTTTAAGACGTAAGCTAAAGGCATTTTCATGAATTAAAATTGCGCTATTATTTAGGAAATTAATTTCGCTTCAAATCAAAGCTTTAGCAAGTAATTACTTTTACAATTTGCCAACAATTTGAATGAAAAATGCATCGCACACATTTGACACACACTGCTATGCGTATGTTGATATTTTTACTAAAACGAGGTATTTTTTAGCACATTCTTCATTTAATACTCATGCATGCAAAGTATGTTATTTTTGTGTTGATAAACTGTCTCTGATTTTAATTTGATTTCCTTGTGGATTTTTACTATAGTAATATTATATATTACATTGAATATTTGCATAACCTTTCAATCAGTTGTTAGTGTTGGTGCAGCAGCAGCAACAACAGCCGCATTCTGATAAGAAAGTGCGTGTTGTGCTCATGCTGTCGCTGTGGCTGCCGCTGCCGCTGCCGACGTCGGTCACGCGCTGCCCGCAAGACTGTGTTAGTCAATGACCTTGGCGCCGGCAATGCAACTAACTAATCGACAACGCGCAAATGCAACACTGCGCAATCAGGTCATACACTAATGGACAGACGGACGCACACACGCACACACAGACACACACCAGCATACATTATGTAATCGGCAATTTCTTTCTGCTTGCTAGAACTCGATTCGTTGGTGATGTGGGGTGGGTGGGTGATTGTTACTGCTGCCTTAAAATACTCACTCGATTCACTTGCACGGTCGCTTCGGTGGCATAATTATTGGTCTTTGCGACACCGGCCTGTGCTGCATTCTGGAATAAACCGAAAAATGACGATGAATAACTGCGTCTGCTGTCAAATCTTAGGTGGTTTTTATGTTGTTGTCGTCCAATGTTGTTGCTGCTGTTAACATTGCTGTTGTAGTTGCTCCTGTTATTGTTGTTGTCACTGTAACTTCTGCTGCTTCTGTTGGTTTGCTTTGTATGTTGCTGTTGTTGTTGTTGTTGTTGTTGTTGGTGTTGCTTCGTATTAGTGACAGTTACAATAGTTTTGTTAGTGACAGCAACGGCTGCATTACAGTTACGTACTTTTTGCAATTGCTTAACAATAATTGGCAATTCACTAACGCGCGACAACGTACGCAACATTTTCACGGCTTTCGTTTTCGACTATTCTCTCTCGTTCGCGTAACAGCTGCTGGTCAATGGCTACAAAAAATACGCTAATTTGAATACCAAATGATGCTAAATATGCCACATTTTGAAAAAAGATACTGTAAATACTATATATATTTGGTATATTTTTGTAAAGCTTTCAAAAGCTTATTAGCTTATATTCAAAATATGAATTTTTAATGGCCAAAGACTAAGACATTTGTGGCCTAATTTTCCCCATAGCAAAATGTATTTCAAAATATACTAAATAAACTCACAGATAACGAACATTTAGAAAAAATATACTGTAAATAATTTTTGATTTGGTATTATATTTAATGCAGCTTTTAAAAGCTCCAAAAGAAAAGGTTAATTGTCAGTGGATAAAAAATATACAATTAAATTGCCCACATGACAAAAAGTGCTACAAATTATACCAAATAAACTTGAGGCTATCGTGGAAAAACTGTTAAAAATTCAAAACTTCAATGCTCAATGACAATATAAATGTCTGCCAAATAATACCAAATAAATATATCAGAAAATATAAAAAGTATGGTCACCTTAGCATAAGTATTTAAACAATTTGAAAACTTAAAGCTTCATTTGATTTAAAAAAGCAAAAGCCAACGGTAATTGTAAGCTATTTCAAAGTTTGTCAACTTTTACGATGACCATCGACTCGTTCTCATTACCTGAAATTCGCCCAGAATAAATAAAATACATTGTCTTCAAGAAGTACTTTTATTTCACATTAAAGATCTCATTTGGTTTTTGTTTCTGTTTATTTTTTGTTTTTCTTTCACTTGTCTTCTTATTCGTATATATATATACTTTTAAATATTCCATTTCTGCACCTTCATCATATAATAATTTTCTAGTTCTTATAAAAAAAACTTATGCACACAATTGAACTAAAAGTACACAGATTTTCAAGTAGAATAAATTGAACTTTAAAAAAATACTAAAAGTAAATACGTAAATTATTGAGAACTTTTACGAAACTAAAGTTAAGTGTGCTAAACTAAACTATTTCTAGTTTTTAACAAATTCTAGTAATTTCAGCTCGAATCTTTCAGTTTGCGAATTGATTGAACATAAATCAGAGGAAATTGAGAATTTAAATATTTTGCAGTTGTAATTGAAGCCAAACCAAAATCAAATGCGTAAATTCAAATGTTCAAAACAATCGCTCAATTTCTCTACAAAAATCAACTTTTTTCAATTTACTTTAGATATTTTTTTCACTCAATTCACATCAATTTTCTTATTTATTTTCCTTTCTTTTGTTTTGTTCCGTTTCCATTGAAGTTTTACATCAAAAATTGTATTCATATATATATGTATTTAAATACATATATATGTATATATATATATAGATTTGTTTTTTTTTTTTTTTTTTTTTATTTTAATGCCCAAGTATTTTGCATTATGACAAAAAAAATGATGCTTGCATTTTTGTTTTGCATTTCTTTATATATGTATTGTATATATAAACACTTATAAGAAGTTCTCTTGTGTTTGTAGGAGTGGGTTTTAATATGTATATGTATAGAGTCCATGCAAGAGAAACACACACACACGTACATGCATACATGTGTATGCATGTGTGTGTATATAGTTTCTCTACTTTTGGTTACTTTGTGTGTGTGTGTGTGTGTGTGTGTGTGTGTATTTCTTACCGTTAGCCATAAATAGTAGTTGTTTGTGTGTGTGAAAACGTGCAGCAAAAAGTCTAAAACGTAAATATATAGCAAATTTGTGGTGCAGTGTACAAAAAAGTAACGGCAATCGTTTCGCTCGTGTTTGTGTATGTGTGTCACTGTTTATGTGTGTGAGTGCTGCATAACGTCGACATAGGTATTGGTATTGGTATTTATGTTTATTCTCTTGCTGTGTGAGTAGGAAATTACGTATGTATTTTTGTATGTATTTATTTATTTGGTATTTCTTTTTTTTTTTTTTTTTTTTTGCTTTGCTTTAGCTTAAGCTTTTTTTTTATTAGTATACTTTATTTATTTCCTTTTTCTATTTTCCGCGACTTTTTCGTTTTTTATTTTATTTTTTTTTTTTTCTTTTTTTTTTCGTATTTGTATTTTGCATAATTTACACCAATTTAAGTTCAATATATATATTTGCTTTTTTGTTTTGCTTTTTAGCTTTGCTTTATGTTTGCTGATTTCAAAAAGAAGAATTATTTGTTAGTTTAAAGAACATACAGATTGCACACATTTATTTAACGACAAGATGACAAATTTCATGATGCTTCATGTTTATTTAATAATTTGCTTAAATCGCAATATAATATTTTACTTTCTTTTTCTCTCTAAATAACTCTCTCTCTCTCTATCTATCTCTGCCATTAATTCTTTGTATTCCTCTCCTTTTGTCTGGTTTTTGGATGGATATTTATTCATTTTTCTGCATTTTTTGCTACAAATTTCAAGTTTCTCAATTGAATCAACAATCGAGTTGAGCAAAAGTAAAAATAGACTTGAACTAAAGAAAAAAAAAAAGAAAACTCGCATTCAAAGCAAAGTCAACTACGTCATTGTGCTGTCCAGTGCTGCCCATTTAGATGCAGCGACACAACTTGGCTAAATCTGCTAATGGAAGACCATTTCAATTCAATCCGACGCCTTCCATTAGTGCTGCACAGTTATTTACATTGTTTGCATTATGCTTTTTTGATCCGTAGTTGCTTTAAAAACAAAAACCATTTAAAAAATAAAACTAAAACGCAGTAAACATATTAAAAAACTTTGTTTCTTGTATTCATTTTGTTGCTTTTTCGTTAATTTTCGTTCGGTTGCAGTGGTGGTTGTTGCCTGTGCTATATATATATATATATATGTATGTGTGTGTGTGTGTCGCGTGTCCCTGTGTGTTTGTGTCCGTGATAAGCTGCTAATTGGTTGCTGCACATGCTAAGCCAAGACACCAACAAAAGAGGAAAAAACAATTGGGGCGAGATTGAGATGAAAACAAAGAGAAATAGGGAAAAACGGCAAATGGCAAATGGAAAACAAGAAAACAACAAGAAAAGAACATAAAAGAAAACGAATTAAACATGCAATCATATTTTGTATTTGTGTATGTGTTTTTTTTTATCTATTTGCTCATCATTACCTCCATTTTTTTTTTTTTTTTTTTTTTTTTTGTATTGTATGTTACATTCTTTCATACTATAAACAATTACAATTAAGCAATATTTGCTGCAATGTTTGTGTAAAATTCCAAACAAAATAAGAATACCAATAGAAGGAAAACAATAGCAGTTGTTAAATATATGTATATCATAAATGTTATAAATGTAACTTAAATGGTACGCGGAATAAGGAGGATTCGGGATGTGGACGCTTAAGGAAATTCTGACCAGATATTAGCATGGGAACTAATAAAACAGCTTTGTTGGTCCAAACGGTTGCTTAAGTCGATTCATACAATGGTAATGCCTAGCAGTTGTATAAGTATGTGTGTGTATGTGTGTGGGTACATGTACTCTTGTGTGTAGGTGTGTGTGTATATGTGCCTATTGTATTATTTAGCTTCTACGACTTTGGGCGGCCTTTTACGAAAAGCTGTACAGGATGCGGTAGTTACTGCAACAGCAAATCCTTCTTCAATTCATGTCTGTCGGTGGAGACGGCGGAGTTGGCGGCGAAGTTGACGATGCTGCTGCTTCAGCTGCTGCTGCTGATGTTGACAATTGTTGTTGTTGTTGCTGCTGCTGCTGTTGTTGTTGTTGCTGCTGCTCCTCATATTCCAAGTCAGCACGCAAGCAGCTGCTGCAGCTGGTTGCATCGCTGTCCTCTACTATGGTGTCGTCGTCGTCGTCATCATCGCCGTCATCATCAGAGTCCTCATCATCATCCACATATGCAAGCTGCTGCTGTTGCTGTACGAGCTGCTGCTGCTCATAGACGTACGCAGCACATTGCTGTGCAGCGCCATCTATTGGCATAGCCAGCTCGTCCAGATCCAATTCCATGTCTTCATATGTTTCTGCTGTCTGTTGCTGTTGTTGATAATGATGTTGCTGCTGATGATGATGGTGATATTGCTGTTGTTGCTGTTGCTGCTGTTGTTGTTGCTGTTCCATTAACTCCACATCGCGATCAGCTGTTGTTGTTGCTGTTGATGTTGTTCTTGTTGTAGTTGTTGTCGTCTCCTCCTCCAGCTCATCCCCCTGGCCCTCCTCCAGTTCCACTTCCATCTGCACATCTATTTGCTGTCCCTGTTGCTGCTGCTGCTGCTGCAGCTGTTGTTGTTGTGCTGCTGCTGCTGCAGTAGCAGTAGCAGTAGCAGTAGCAGTAGCAGCAGCAGCAGCAGTTGCTGCTACATCTAAATGTTGTTGTTGTTGTCGCTGCTGCTGCTGCTGCTGTTGCTCCTCCAGCCTCCTGACCACCACTTCATCCGACTCGACAATACTTTAACCGCTCTTAAACAATAAAATGGCCACCTGGCCCAAATAGAAATATATGAAATGGCGCGTCTCGTGTGTCACATACGATCCAAAATTGCGGCCGACAATGCAATGCCATGTTGGATTGTATTTCTTGTCGAATTCCTTCTTGATATAAGCCGCAATATCCTGCAACAGAGAAAGAGAGAGAGAAAGGGAGAGTGAGCGACTTGTTAACGGTTTTTCGAATTAGCGACAACGAAACGGAAACTCAATAAAACAACCTCAGGCCGCCAGCAACAAGACCAACAAAACCTCAAACTTCCAGCCCACGCGCCTAGCCAAGCCTTCATTTGTGACCTCAAAAACTGATTGGGTGTGGGCGCGGTTGGGCTTGGGGCTTGGGGTTTGGGGCTGGCAAAAAGTTTTATGTGCTAATGAGTTAGTTATGACGCTTGTTGCTGTTGCTGTGCTGCTGTTGCCGTTGTTGTTGTTGTTGTTGCTGCTTAGACTTGTTGTAAAATAATAAAAGTGTAGCATAATCAGCAGCGCAAGGTTTGGGCAGCACTGTGTCACACGCACACACACACACACGCACATCACTACTACTACCACTACAACTGTTTTATGTAGTTTCGTATGCAGCGCTCGCATTGGCAAATGCCAAAGGTCAATGCCAGTCGCTTTTAATGGGCTAAAGCCAGGGTTATGCAAACAGACATCGACGCCGCCGTCGCACACACACACAGACATATCGAATAGACAATAGGAAAGCGAGACAGACAGACAGAGAGACGGACTGATAGACAAACACATAAACACATACGCCATGCGGAAGCAAAGTAAAACATTTGACGGCATTTAAGGCCAAGAAACTTTAGACTTAGCCAAATAGTTTAAGCCACAAACTTTCGGATTTAATGAAATGAGTTTATTTTTCAAATAATTTAATAATAATACAGTAGAATCCAGTTATAACGATAGCGAACAAAAATTATGATTCCTAGGCAAAGTTAAATGAGTTAACTTATAATGCTTCTAGATCCCTTGAACGTCGCTATAACCGGATTCCACTCTAGCATTAAAAAACAATTAATACAATTTACATATATTATCTAGTAATTTACTATAGTCTACACAAGATCTCAGTCGAGTACAGTACAACCTGCTTCAAAAATATATTCTCAGCTTTGAGCTGAAATTTATTCAATTATTTTAAATTATTTTTAACAATTTAAATAATAATTTTGTTAACTAATCGAATATATGAGAAGAGAGCATTGTATGCATTGACAGTGCTTAGCCTCATTCTAGTACAGTATAACCTGCCTAATGCGAATAAACGCTTAACAGTAGAGCATGTCTAATTATTTTGGACGGCACTGTGAAAATTAAAAAATTTGCATATCACTGCAAATATTTGTCAGTAAATTTTTGACGGCATTAAATGTCAAGGAACGTTAGCCAAAAAGTGCGGGCCTACTTTTTGACGGCTTAAATTAAATTAGTTTTTAATTAATATTTAATAACAATTAACAAATATTCCTAGATATTTTAATACAGCAGAGAGCATAGTCGACATAGAGCCAATGCTCTGGTCTAATACAGTAAAACCTGCCTACAACAAATAATCGCTACAACTCAACCAGTCCACTTATTTTAGCCAGCACTGTAAAGCAAGGCAACTCAATGAGAATTCAAAAATCATTAAAACACTCCAAAATGTTGCCCAAAAAATGCAATGAGAGAGAGCTAGAGGTAGCTAAAAGAGAGGTTAGCACAAGGGAAGGTAGATAACAAGTGGTAGGGGTGGCTACTCAACCACTGTGCAGCAGATAGGAAATTGCCAAACTTGAGCAGAAATGCGTGCTAAGCCATAAACTTAACCCAGTGACCTCAAAGGCAAACAAACAACAGTGGGAAAAGCTTTTGCGACAATGGTGACAGTTACACATTCACACACACACACACGCACGCACACACAGACACACATGTACACAAGCAGCAACCCCTAGCCAGCCAGCAAATGGCACGATCGCTTTGTCAAGTTATTGCCAAGTTTTCTTTTGGCTTCGCTTCTTATTGTTTCGTGTCAGACGACAATAATGCGTTGACTGTTTAATATCCCCACGTTTATTCATTCAATTCGGCTCCATAGATGACACGGGTATGGGTTGGTTGGGGGGCAGCGGTTTGGCTCTATCGAGGGAGCCCGCTCCAACTGCAACGATTTGGCATTTTGTTTTGGCAACGCCAAACAAAAAAAAAAAAAAAAAAAAAACACAAAAATGATAATAAAAAAAAAAAATGGAACCTTTATTTAGGGGCCGTTGTCTGTTGCCTGTGGACGTGCCACACATGCAACACAGCCACTAAACCCACCTGCAGCTCGAGCTAACTGTTAGTTAACCAAACTTTATAGACAAACTTAATAATTTAGCCAGGGCAAGAGACTATCATTAGTCACTTACAGATGACTTGAGTTTTTTCCCCTGTTTGCTCTAGAGACATTTCCATAATTCTCTATAATGTGTCTGAATTGTTATAGTTATTTACTCAATGAAGGAGTGAATTGCCGAATGAATGAATAGATGAATAAATGTGTGAATTGCTAATTAATGCATTCATTGCAAAACATAAATTATATGATTTTTTATTATAATTATTATTTTTTTTTTTGGAACTTATTTATCTCTTTATTTTCTATTATTTTTGACTGCTAATAAATAATGAAGAATTAAAAAAAAAAAGATAGTTAATGGATTGTGTACATTATTAATAGTTTTCGCTTTTTTTTTTTTTAGTTTATTTGAAACATTATAAAATATATGATTTATTATTTTATCTGTTATCTATTTATTGCATTATTTTCTATTATTTTTTACTGTTAATAAATAACAAAGAATTTTAAATAAAATATGGCTAATGGAATGGATTATGGATATTATTTATAAGTGCAGTTTTATTAGTTTATATATTATTGAAAAAAAAATATATATATTATAATATAGAAATTTATATTATCATTTTATTTTTCCTTTATTTAATTTAGTTTTATTTTTTGTTTAATTTTTTTCCGTTAATTTAATTTAATTTTTTTCCCTTTATTTATTTTATTTTTCCTTTAATTTTCATTATTTTATTTTTCATTTTTTTATATTACTGTAAAACATTATAATAGACATATTAGATTTAACACTTTTTTATTTATTATATATTTTTTTCTATGACATTTGATTATATAACATAATATAATATTCAGCTAATAATATCTGAGTTTTACATTAGATTATTCATTATAGCATTAGCCTATATCTCATAATATCATATAATATTCAAGTATTTGTATCAGTATAGCATTAAATTATATTATTCATCATTCATCATTATCATGTAATATTGAATAATACTTAATTTAATTTTAATTGCATAAATTGTTTATATACAGTTAATTCAAGAGCTTTCCAGGTACATACATATGTAATCATTGCGCTCCACATTCACGCATATAAAAAGTTCTATAAAAAATAGTCCAAAACCACAATTCAATTTACTTCATATTGAAATAATTTGCGTATTTAATTAGTTGACTTAACGAAGTGCAGTTTTTTTTTTTTATAAATTAATACATATGTATGTATGTATATGTGTGTGTGTTTATATGGGGAAAATGAATAAAATTCCACTTAAATCCTTAAATACGCTCGACTTATAGCCCCATATTACTATCAATACATTTATCTGCAGCGGCTAATCTCCCAGCTCTGCCCCACAAAATGCGCCACAATTTTTATTTTCAATTCAATCTGAATTTTGGGGAGTTGGATGGCCTGCCCGATGGGGAATGGGCGGCTGTCAGATACTGTGTAATTGCCTGCCCAAATCATGTACTCTATATGTCAGAAGTGCGGAATGTCGACATGCCCGACATGGCCGTGGGGCGGGGAGGCAGAGCGGAGGGGCTGCGGGTATGGCGGGAACGATAGGCAGCCAGGCAGGCAGGAACTAAGGAAGACTGGCTTGACGGATATATTTGGCCGCATATTGATTAAACATTTGGCCACGCAAAATGCCTTTTTTTCTGTTTTTCTTTATTTCTTTTTTTTCTCTTCTCTCTTCTATATACAAACACGAAATCAAGCAGCAACAATAATAATAAATGAATTTCCAAAACAAAAACAAATATAAATTGAAGCTGAACTAATTACATTTATTTTTAAAATTAAAAAACAAAAAAACAAGAAAAAAATAGAAAACGCAAACGATGCGGGAAAATTGATTTAATTTGGGCTTAGAGTGCGCGCTTTGGTTTTTGCTGGTTTATTTGGTTTGTTAGCCTCTTGTTAGGCTTATTTTTGGGATTTTGTCTTTAAATCGCTGCTAGAGCCAAGGCAAAGCAAAGCAAAGCAAACACACACACTCTTGCACACACACACACACACACCGATACATAGGCATACTGCCTTTTGGTAGATACAACTTAAGCCGCTCGAAAGGTTAAGCGCCCCTAAAATATATATATATATACAAGTATATATATATATAGTATAAATAAAACACATAATTTGCTTTGCTCCTCTGCTGTGTGTGTGTGTATCCAGTGCGTGTCTCTCTGTGTGTGTGTGTGTGTGTGTGCCAATTTAACCCTTGTGTATTGGTGTGCTAGTTGCGTATCTATTGGATACCAGAGCTTATTGCTTTTTATGTTTTTTTTTTTCGTACTTTGTTGCCTGCTTTTTTGCTCGAAAAGCAAAGCAAAATGCATTTTGCTTAATGAAAACTCTCCATTATGTATGACTGTGTGTGCCACTCTCTGTGTGTATGTGTGTATGTGTGTGTGTGAGTGCTAGTGTGTATTTCATAGCTTACTTTCCAGCAACTAGAGTTTTTGCTCACAATTTGCACACAAATTTGCAGCGCAACTCGAAATATTTCGAACAAACTCGCTTCATATTAATTAATTCGAATTAAATTCACACTGAAAGCCTCTAACTACAATAAAAAGCAGATTTGAAACTCTGCTAATTGCAAAATGTTGGCAAATTATGTTTTCGGGCGAAATGTCAGCACAAATTGAAATCCAAATTGAAATTGAACAATAGCCATTGGAGTTCATTTGCAGAAATTTAATAGAAATATGCTTGGGATTTAATGCAATTCCATTGAATTTAGTTTTACTGAAAGTAAAT